CAAATCCCTGCTAAGCAGAAGAAGAATACTTTAATATCTCGAGCAAGGCAGAAATTTCAAAATCTCCCCAGTTTTCATTGATGTATTTAAAAAAAAAAAAATATATATATATATATATATATAAATCTCGAGCCATGTCCCGAGCGAGACAGATATTGCAAAATCTTTTCTGTTTTTCCTTCGGTATTTGAAAAGAAAAGAAGTCCCTGTCAAATAAAGTTTGAATACCCCAAGCGGAAGAAAACCTCGAGGTTCAAGAGGACCCGAGGGGAAATGATTCCGGGGCAAATTTAATGCACCCGCTCTGAACCGGCCTTATTTCCCTTTTTTATCGGCCCGAAAACACAATGGGCCAAAAACCGTTCAATTAGAAAGCTTCTCCCCCCCAGCCCCTAGCCTTATTATTAGAAGTGCCAGGTCCCTTTCTTCCTCTTTTTTTAAGCGTGGAATTTTCTCGCATATGGTTGAGAGATGCTCTAATCATTCTCGCCGTCGTATTGCGTGTAAATTGCGCCAGCATTCATGAGGATCGTATGACGCGTCAAGATTCAAAAACAACCATTTCTTTTTCTCTTGCGTATAAACGCAGGCTCGTCCGAGGATTTTTTTTATTTTTCTTCTGAGGGATTAACATCGGGTTTAATTGGATACAATCCTGGTGATTTCGGACGCATTATTCGCTGTTGTTGATCAGCTCGGAAGATGATATGGAGCCCGAGAACTCAAGGTTCTTCCTGCTTCGAGATGACCAGCAATAAACAAATCCTCGGCTGCCCAGAAAAAAAATTGTGTCCCAAGACAGCGCACCCAAAAAAAAAAAGAATGCATATGCCGGGTTTTTTCTTGGGAAAAAAGCCCGTCAGATAAAGCCCGAATATTTGCTCTCGAAATAAAAATAAATAAATAGCTGACATTAAAATTAATTAACGCGCCATTTCGTGTTTCCGAAAATTGATTGAGTGACGAGTCTAAACTAAATGATCTGCACAATTTGTTTTTGTTTTTTTGGCATCGGTGATACTTTTTTGCAGAAATGTTCTAGTTTAATTGCGATGTTTCCAGACTCGTCAATAAAAAAAATAGGTATAACCTCGTGTCTCGAATTTATTTTATTTTGGCGGTTATTTTAAATTGGCGATAACCCTACCGTTTAATTATTCTAACTAAAGTGACGCAGAAAAAAAAACTGCATCGTTTCCTGAATCTGTGAAACTTTTTTGCAGATACTTTATCTTTCACATGCGCTGTTTTCAGACTCCCGAGCACAAAAAAAAATAATAATAAAAGAACCTTCGAGCCGGGGTCTCGAGGGTATTTGTTTTTGTGCGTTTTGAAATTAATTAGAACAAACCACACCTTTTTGCTATCTCGAATTATAATGATACAGCATCACTTTCTGATTCTGTGGAAGATATTCCCTTTTTATCTACCCTGTTGGCGGTAAAAAAAAAAAAAGAACCCTCGAGTCTGGGTCCCGAGATAATTTATTTTTTCTGCGTGTTAAAATGAATCGGAAAGAACCCCGCCTTTTTAGTATCGAAGTGACAAATTGTTTCATTATTCTGAACCGAATTTAGAGAGTGTGTCATATATTTTTTACAATACCTGTAAATAAATTTTAAAAAGATGGTGTCATTTATTCTGGATGAATGCGGATCAAATGAGCGGATGAAAGAAAATTCAGACACCCTTCGTTCCCAGGTCCCTATATCTAGCTGTTCTTCTCGCTTAACAAACCCAAATCACGTTTTCTTTTGAAGTCCTTTCAAGCGTAGGACCCGTGTGTGTGGGTGGGGTTGTCAGCTGTGGAGAGGTGGAGAGAGAAGATGACCTCGGGTCAACACGATCGTTGACCCGAAAGATCATGTTGCTTCTTTTGCCTGCCTAGTCACTCGATCCCTATGCTTGCGTATATGAGGTTGGGGAAGAAAGAGAAAAGTGATTGATCTTTGAAGAAAGTTCTGTGTGTTTATTGTCTGTTGAGATTTTTTAAAAGAATTTTTCAGCTCTCTTTAATCTTTTAGTGCGAAGGTTCTCAATCCATGCTCCGTGGAGCCCCGCGAGACAGCTCGTTGAGAACTTCGCTGGGGGCTCCGCAAAAAAAAAAAAACTTACATGAAAAATGCGAAATACAGTGAGACCCCGAGATGCAGAACGTAATTGGTGCATCAAGAGTGTCCCTAAGTTGAAATGTCCGTAGGTCGAGTCTATTTTCCTTACACTTACATTATATAATTTTGAATTGGTGTTTTATGTACAAAATACTCACCATAATTATGAGAGAAATGCCCAAGAACTTTTCTAACATCAATTTTAGGGCTGGAAATATCTGTTTCTTGTAATTTGGCCTGAAATGTATTTGCAATTTTATAACAAAATGTCCCTATGTCGAGTCAGTGTCCTCATGTTGAGACTTTTTCATTAAGTTTTTATTAGAAAATAAGTGTCCCTATGTCGAAATGTCCGCATGTGGGGGTCTCACTGTATAGTACACTTGATTACAAAATAAAATGTGTATTGTCCACAGAAAATTGTAGAGCATTTCGTCCCCGTATTTTCTAGGCATATGAAAGCTATTCAATGAAGTTGAATCGTAAAGAAAATTTATTTTCAAAAGTTACATTAGTAAATTGCCGGGGGATAAATGTTTTGTAACGGCTCCTCGGGTCGAGAACATTGAGTACAGTAACTTTAATCTATTGGCTCTCAACATTGAATCCTTATGACTATACTTGATGCATGAAAAAAGAAACATGAATGTTCTGACTTGAATATGCATGTTCTTTGATTTTGGGTAAAATTTCGGCCGGTCGAAATTCTGGACTTTACAATTTTTTTAATTTTTTTCTTTCACTGCATATTTTAAGAAAATATCTGCAGTGAATATCTAAATGAAAAATTAATCAATTACTGTACTTTATCTGGCTTCGTGTGCAATTGAAAACGTTCGGTGTATGTAAAGAATATTCCGATGCACACATTTCTTTATTTATTTTTTGAATTTTTTGTTGTTGTTTATATTATTCTGAAAATACTTGATGTCTGCTGCATGGTAAATTATTGATGCCAACTTCAATTTCAGCTCTTTCCCCAGAGGAAGGTGGACATGGCAGCAATTTAAACTGATATAAAAATTGCAACGCGGAACAGGACAAATTTTATATTCCTGATGAAAAAAAGTGCGGGAGTTGCTGTGTTTTTTTCTTCTTCAAGTTCCTCAATTTTAAATTAAGGTATGCACCATATTTTTTATAATTTGTTAAACATTGGTCAGGAGATATTGTCATTATGATACAAAATTTAATATTTTTTTCCGAGGTAGGTGGACATACCAACTCCGCAAATTCTTTGCTTCTCTGAAATTCATTTTATTTTATTTTCCAATTTCAAACGCAGAACAGAAGAAAGTTCCCATGCCTGTAGGGCGGAATAAAAGGAAAAGTAGCGCTCAGAAAAACGGCCGGAAATTGTGAAACACGCTTCCTCAAGAGTCAAGATGCTTCTCTATTACTGCTTAGTAATTCGATCCATTTCGGAATTAAACAATGAAGCAGTGATAGTTTTTACCATTAAATATCTTAAAAGTGGGAGCTAAATGTCACAGAAGTATTTTTTATTCCCATGGATCAAGTAATGATCATATTTCATTTTAAAGTCCAGGGTACTGTGAGCTACAGTATTAAGATTAAAAAAGCAAGAGATTGTAAGGCTAACCTCTTGACCCTTCTGAGGTTCTACCAGTCTTCCGACTTCATTCATGCTTGGATTAAAACCCAGAAGTTCAATATAGAGAAGAAAAAAATAAGATGGATGACAACTTGACAAGTTTCCTGGGAGACAAGGAAGGTCATGAATGCAAGAGATGCTGATCATTCCTGACTAAAAGTTCATACCATGTTCAACCCCTTTTGTGTCGTTTTCTCTTGTACTTGAGTCTGTATTTTCCAGACTTGAAAATTTGTTTATGCATTTTTTAAATGCCAGTTTTTGCTGGAGGGATGTCGTTTTCCCTGAGTGGTACTGCGCATTATATATTTTTTTTCCTTCCCAAGCGCTACCAATGCTGAAGTAACTGCTCCCCCTGCGTAAAGTTTTGCCCAGAAATAGCAAAGAAGAGAGAAAGCTTCAGTTGTTCGGTACTTTTTGTAGAGCAGTACTAGAAACGGGTGTACACCGCTCTGTTGTCGTGACTTTGGCTTGGGGGGTGCCGACGAGAGCTGTGGTCAGAACTGCTCTAGCACAACAAGTACAGGCTGTCAAGCTTCCTGCCCAAATAAAACTCACAGGGAGAGACACACGCAAAAAAATTAACCAGCTGAAACATAGTCTAAGACAAACAAGATACCAGAGTTTGCCCCACCTACGCATTTAGAGCTAATTATGATCCCCCCCTTTTTTTCCAAACTTCCGGGCTAATTTTTCATGCTATCTGACTCTTCCTGGGCTTGTCGCAACTAATAGTCAAGGAATCAGTCAGGTATTCGTGGCTGTGTTTTGTTTGTAACACAGCGCGGCGTTGTAAAATACTTGTCCTATGGCTTATTCAGACTATATACTCGAAGAAACCACTGTTCTTCGAAGTCGCCTAACTTCCATAGAGGCGGCCTTTTAGGCAAGTTAAGCGGAGGGGCTTGCGGGTATAATTCAGTCGAATTACTCATGCGAATCCCTGCCTCGCGAAGGATGCAACTGTTGGTTACTCAACGATTTTAATTGAATCGAAGATAATCATCGATGAATGCGTGTGAAATATTTCGCTTTATGAACAGTCGGATAAGTCTTTTATCACGCGGAATACGAGAATTTGAAGATGAGCGTGAACTAGCCGGTGAACTCCTCGATGATTTGAGAGAAGCCTGAGAAGTGCTGTTTCGTGATATTCAATCCTTAAGTTTCTCATAAAGTAACTTGGCCTTTTCATGCATCATATTTCTCTGGTGTTGCCTCGAATATTTTTTTAAGGAAAAGAAGAGGGGAAGTACTGAGAAATAGTGTGGAGGATGGTCGATATTGTTATCGCCGATGTTACCGAAAACTTCATCCGCGAAATGTGTGTTTTCAACTTAGAACATCTCGCTCAGCTCTCGTGCTGTGATCTCAAGCGTCGAATTATGAGGGTAAGAATAATCTCTGCATCTTGATGACGGATTCGTGCTTTGTATATCTTCGATATCGAGCTTCGTTTGCTTGAATCTCTTAAAATTTGTTCTCGAAAGCCTGTTTAGAGGACATTGTTCACCGTGTATAAGATCTTTAAGGCACTCGCGAGACAAAAGCATATTATTGATTCTTCGCACATACGCAAGTGAGCGGGGCAGCCTCTAAGCAGGCAATGCAACTATACCTATACGTCGGACCAAGCCGAAGGCAAATCACGTTCTGTTGATAATGGCTGTTGTTCGTTCATACGTCCGCACCGGCTTTGCCTGTACCATTGCTTTGTAACGTCACTCTTCTTGTTTCTCTTGCCTTTTCGTCCACTGCTCGCTGTGCTTTTTCTAGCGGAAGAGGTGGAGCGAATGACGAAGACCCGCTTTGGCTGGAAATATTCCACACAGCTCCGCATGTCGACCGTGTCGCTGACGAGGATGACGAGGACCGCGACGACAGCTGCGGAGAAACTGCTCCCATGAAACCTCAGTGAGTTGTTTTTTTGCTCCTTTCCGTTTTCACCTGGTCTTCTGCGAACGTAGTGTAAATCGCTTGTGCAACGATCCGTTTATAGGCTTACCTTACTCTAATTGTAGAATACCGAATATGCTTGCCATCTTCGCTTCGTTGCATCATGCATTTGTAGAGAAATTGTTATATGCGTTCGCCGGTGCTTACGTTGAATGATCTATGCGTTCTTGTGTTTGTCTGGGCTTAATCAGTTTGCATCTTCTCGTCCTTGCGCGTGGTGAGATTCATCAAGTACTTTTCAAGGTTATTCCGTGGCGACAACCAAAATGTGCGATGTTTTCTTTTGATGTCAAGATTATCGTCATTTTTATTGCGGTTTTTCGCTATAGGGCTTCGGAAACGGAAAAACAAAATCTTGCTTATGTTACACGGAAGAAAAATGGCGAGGGATTACGTACTTGTTTTGTACTGTATATCGAATCCCCATTAAATTCGATCGCGTAGAAGAGACTGCCATCTGAATGTCTGATAGCATTTGCACAAGTGACAAACGCAGTAATGTATCGAAAGGGCTGCGCCATTTTATTCCAAATGGGAATGATGTTCAAGTCAGAAGGGTTGAATAACGTTGGCCTCACAGTATTGTACAACCTTCACCGAAACGCTTTGAGATGGATGTTGGGGATAATCCTTGAATTGTAGCGTACCGTTTCTCGATGATGTTCCGAATGTTTCCGACTCGTTCATTAGCATGGATCCGAGAGCCGTTGAGAACTGGACGAGAACCCGGTCGGGTTATGGTTTATTCACTTGTCGACGGAAGAACCTCGCTCACCTCTAAGAATAGAAAACCCCGGGAGTTTCCGGAGCCCGGTCTCATCCATCCGAGCGTCGGGGTCTAACCCTTGGGGCGTGGTAGTGTTGGCGGATATTTCCCGAGGAACTCGGCTGTTGTGATGCATGGGGGAGGAACGTAGAGTGCGTGTGTTCCTGTGCCGCGCAGCTGTGTTGTAAATCAACGCTCCGGAAAACGTAGAAGACTCCTCCTCTTTACACAAACCATACCCTTTCTGAGCCTCCCTAAAAAGATGCACTTGGGATCTCCAAGAACTTCCCCCCTTTGCCCCTCTTCCAAAAAGCGAACAAAAGAAGTGCGCGGGGGGCTCTCAAATAGTTTTCCAGGGTGTCCCGAGGAAAACAAGGGAGGATGAGGAGAAACTCCCTTTTTTTTGTGTATCTCTCATCGCGAGTCAGTGGGAAGTATTTTTATTTCTTTTGAATACTGTCACGAATGATTTTATTTTGGAAATGCGATTCTCTGGGGTAAATGCAGGCGCGTTGGGATTATTAGTGTTTGAGGCTCCCCGGATTTTTTTTCTGCATTTATTTGTATCATTTACTGTATTTGGTAGATTTGGTTAGTCACATAGAAAAGGTCAAGCTATGTAGTAAACTAATAATTTATGACTTCTTCTAATTCTCCGCATCGAATGCGGGGTTTGTTGCAAACTCTCTCCAAAACAATGATTCCTCTCTTTTTGATTAATTTTTGTTGTTGGTCCCATAGGGTTCTTTTCCCATGTTGAATAGGGGTTTCTTAGGGCAAAATTATCTCCAAAATGATTATTATTTTTACTGGATCCTTGAATTTTTTTTTAGAGATAAAAAGAGTCCACCTGTTTTTACTACACTCCCTTCAAATTCCAATCCAAATGAGATTCATTTTTAAATCTCGCAAAACTTGGATAAAAATCTGAATAAATCAGCTTGGAACCAGAATTGACCTGCAGTTTCTAGGTAAATTGAAGTACACCAATGGGAGCTTGAAATCAGTTGAAATTATGTTAGAGTTCATGTAGTCAGTCGCATAAATCACTCGATTACAGTCCTGAGTCGATTTGAAAAATCGTACTGTGTTTAATGAAGTGCCAACCGGACATTTTCCATCGAAAATCAAGTTAAAAAGTGTGGTGTCGTATCTTTTTTTTCCCTGAATGTTTGTAACATTTTTGGTACGCGTCATAATTGAAGTAGATGGAAAGAAAATTGAAGAAATAATTTTTAGAGACAAGAATGAACAAACGTGAGACAAAAGCAACTGCAGCACGATTGAATTCTTATTTCATTAGTCCAACTTTCACATGGAATAATGTATTTTCTTTAAAATCTCTGTTTTGCAAGAAAAATATATTACGTTTCTTACAAGGGGATTTACTGTTGGCAAATTTTTTGTTTCAAAAATTAGGTTACGCTTTTCGCATGAGTGCGCATTGTACAGTACTTGAATAACCACGAGTACAGTGCTGTATTATGAAAAGTTGAATTTGATGAGGTCGAACCTTCGATCATGATCCATCTTTTATCTAAAATTAATTTACAGTATATTGAATGACTGTCCTTGACTAATCAGTGTCTAATTGAATTCCTGGTGGTTGTTGTTTTTTTAACCACCCTGTACATGCAGCCATAAGGATTCATTCAGCAAGTCGAACCCCGTTTTCTGCTCATTAGCAGCAGCTAATGTTCCTTCAAGCCGACGGGGGAAGTGGGGGGAAGAGAATATTTATGGAGTGGAACCGGCTTCGGCAGGTTGATGAAGTCTGCTTTTCGTGGGCGATGAGATTAAATTTTTTGGAAGAAGTTTTGGAAGCTCATTGAGGAGGGAGTTGATCAATAATCTGGTGTTTCTTGTTGTGAGTATGATGATAAAGCAACTTCTTAAACGATTTAGCTTTTATAGTATTTTAGGAGGACAAAAAAAAGGAGTCAAGCCTTCTTTTTACGAAATTTGGTGCTGTTGATGTACGTGACCTACCGAAATTATTTTGTCTACTGTCAAACTTCAAAAAGACCAGAAAAACAACTTCTTGAACCGTTTAGCTTTTATAGTGTCAAGTAGCTTTTAGGAGGACAAAAAATGAGTCAAGTCTTCTTTTTTTACGAAATTTGGTGCTGTTGATGTACGTGACCTACCGAAATGATTTTTTCTACTGTCAAACTTCAAAAAGACCAGAAAAACATTTTGAGTTTGGGAGGTTTCCAGTTAGGAAAACAAAAATCTTTTTTAGGAGCTGAGAAGAAATAAGAGTTACAGGACATTGTAATGGGTGATATTCTGTGCCCTGAAGTGTTTCTTACGTGAGTTCAAAGGATGCTGAACTTGGAGACAAGGGATCATTTGCCCCATTAGTCTTCCAATTCCTATCAAAACACATCAAGTTACATTTTTATTGCGTTTCTCTTGAGACAGTGACTTGAAAAAAATGTGATATGAAGAGGTATTTAATTTAGGGAGGTTTTAGTTATATTCTGTTTACAGAGGAAATGTTCTGTTTGTAGAGAGTGTCAACCTGTACTTTTTATTATGAAGGTAATCCAGAAAGGATCTGGTTGACAGGATATGATTTTGGTCAGCTGTCTGATGTTGTCTGGCAACCTTGTATCATCATCATCTGGGTTGCTACACTGTAGTTTACGTTTTTAGAATGGCGAAAGATGCTCACACTTCTTGTGGTCTGTCGCGTAGCATAACAACACCAAGGATTCTTCGGTTTTGCTGAAGTTCTTACTTTTTTGCCGTTTCACTCGTCATTTTTTCTTTCCTCTGCTTTATATATTTTTCTCATTCTTTTAATCTTTTGTCGAGGATTGAGTGCGAAGGAGATGGATGAAGGGCTTTGCTTGAATTCCGCGGCGAGAGTAACAGGAATATCTCGCGGCTCAGTGAGCGAGAATTTTGCTGCCAAGCCTCGTCGCACATTCGTCACCTGTCGAACCCGGGTGTGGCTTTTTTTTTGGCGGAGATGCGTTTTGTAGTGCCAGGAAGTTGTTAAAAGACCATTGGTGGATTTTCTACGCTTTGCCCATTCCTGACACTTTTATTTTCATTTATTTATTCATGTAACTTTCGGTGACATCTTTCTGTGGAATCCGATGATTGATATGGTTTTTTCTTTCACCTGGAGGAGACATTCTTCCGCGCGTTCTATATTTAGTCGTTTTGAATATCTTGAAGTTGGGAAAGCTTGAAACTTCGCGGATGGTTTTCGTCGATTGCAGTATTTTTGAATTGATGGTATGAATTAACTAACTATTGATGTCTCGGGATAAGTGTTGGCTCTTTCTTGAGGAAGATCGTGTGCTCGGAGAAAGAAATCCGAGTTTATGACCAGCTTTCATATCGCGGCTTTTCGAAGTGAATTTTGAAATCTGGAGTCCAAATACTGTAAGTGAAGTGTGAATTCTCGGAGTGAATTTTCTCATGAGTAGAAATGCGAAGCGTATGAATTTTTCTCGCGTATTTCTCCGAAATATCGGAGAAATATCAAATACTGTACTTTACATTGTGACTGATTGATTTTTAATTTTTACGAATACACCGAGATTAAGTAGTTGTCCATGACAATCGCAATTTAATTTTAAACTGTATAGTTATTCGTTTTAAGTTCTGTTTTTTTTTCCTCTGGATTTCTTCTTCGTGTGATCCAACATTTGCAACTGCTAAAAATTCCCCGACGCCTAATTGGGCTCAAATGAATAAAGAACCTGCAATAATCTTTTTTTTGGCGCGTAAATTGAGATTTAGAAGGTTCAACGTGTGCAGAAAATTCTCGGAAATTGTGATGTCTGTAAGTTGCGGTAAAACCGGTGTGTCCTACATTTTCATGTCTGCGAAGAATGTTATTTGCTTTGGGATCTGCCTTTTATAAGTTCGTAATAAAAAAGCCCCGAGGACAAAAACGTTGGGAAATTCTGTCCTGAACAAATCGGAACAAAAGTTCTCATTCGGGAATGTCTGACCGTGCAATCCGAAATCTAAATATTCTTTTCAGCATTGAAATTGCCCTTAATTCGCGAGACCCGCAGAGGAAACTGGTTTCTGTGTAGGAGAATCAGTTCATTCTTCTTTCTTCTTTTTTTTTTCTGAACCCGAGTCAGAGCCCTTATTTAGGGCCGGTACCCCACAAAACCATGACATGTATATAACTGGGGCAACAAATACCGCCATGCGCATTTTCATAGAATTTATGAAGTCTAAGGAGTGGATCATTTGCGACACACGCAAGTACAGAACGTTCCCGTGAATTTATTGATCCCCAGACTATTTTGGCGCGTGTGCAGCATCTGGATCTGGTTTAGCTCGGGGAGGGTTTCTGGATCATTCTGACTATAGTTTATGAGTACTAGCAGCTCTGTACTTTACTGGGACAGTTGGATTTCGTTGAACGTTTTATTATTTTCTGAAACGCGGTGGTGGGAAATTAATTTATTCTTGTGTGCGTCTTCCTTGTGCTAAACTTTATTGCGTACTGTATATATATTTTTCCCCCGCAGGAAGAACTTGCCGGCTGCCAAGGGAAGAGCCGGGAGGAGGTATTTGAAGCGATGCGTGTACGCCTTTGGAATCCCTGGCCTGATGACGGGCGTCTTGCTTGTCTTCCAGCTGGTGGAGAGTATCCCTGAGTCCTTCCTCACGTACCCGATCAATCCGGATCGTCGTTGTTGGTTCAGAAGTGAGTCGTCAAGACCAGGAGAAATTGTTTACTGCAAATCGTTCCGGACATTCGGGGAAAAAACCACGAAAAGCCAGGAGAACGTCGTCTTTTTTCCTATTACTGTACAGTACTGCAGTTTTCAGCGTAAAATTTTGAACTTGAATTTGATTATTAAATTTGATACATCAACGCAAGCTTGTTCAATGAACTTCTTAAATTTTATAAATTTAAAGAATTTATTTATAAATTGTATATTGCATGCCATGATTGGTCAGAGGACGCAGAGCTATGTCTTTTTTTTNTTTTTTGGCGCGTAAATTGAGATTTAGAAGGTTCAACGTGTGCAGAAAATTCTCGGAAATTGTGATGTCTGTAAGTTGCGGTAAAACCGGTGTGTCCTACATTTTCATGTCTGCGAAGAATGTTATTTGCTTTGGGATCTGCCTTTTATAAGTTCGTAATAAAAAAGCCCCGAGGACAAAAACGTTGGGAAATTCTGTCCTGAACAAATCGGAACAAAAGTTCTCATTCGGGAATGTCTGACCGTGCAATCCAAAATCTAAATATTCTTTTCAGCATTGAAATTGCCCTTAATTCGCGAGACCCGCAGAGAAAACTGGTTTCTGTGTAGGCGAATCAGTTCATTCTTCTTTATTTTCTTTTTTTCCTGAACCCGAGTCAGAGCCCTTATTTAGGGCCGGTACCCCACAAAACCATGACATGTATATAACTGGGGCAACAAATACCGCCATGTGCATTTTCATAGAATTTATGAAGTCTAGGAAGGAGTGGATCATTTGCGACACACGCAAGTACGTTCCCGTGAATTTATTGATCCCCAGACTATATTGGCGCGTGTGCAGCATCTGGATCTGGTTTAGCTCGGGGAGGGTTTCTGGATCATTCTGACTATAGTTTATGAGTACTAGCAGCTCTGTACTTTACTGGGACAGTTGGATTTCGTTGAACGTTTTATTATTTTCTGAAACGCGGTGGTGGGAAATTAATTTATTCTTGTGTGCGTCTTCCTTGTGCTAAACTTTATTGCGTACTGTATATATATTTTTCCCCCGCAGGAAGAACTTGCCGGCTGCCAAGGGAAGAGCCGGGAGGAGGTATTTGAAGCGATGCGTGTACGCCTTTGGAATCCCTGGCCTGATGACGGGCGTCTTGCTTGTCTTCCAGCTGGTGGAGAGTATCCCTGAGTCCTTCCTCACGTACCCGATCAATCCGGATCGTCGTTGTTGGTTCAGAAGTGAGTCGTCAAGACCAGGAGAAATTGTTTACTGCAAATCGTTCCGGACATTCGGGGAAAAAACCACGAAAAGCCAGGAGAACGTCGTCTTTTTTCCTATTACTGTACAGTACTGCAGTTTTCAGCGTAAAATTTTGAACTTGAATTTGATTATTAAATTTGATACATCAACGCAAGCTTGTTCAATGAACTTCTTAAATTTTATAAATTTAAAGAATTTATTTATAAATTGTATATTGCATGCCATGATTGGTCAGAGGACGCAGAGCTATGTCTTTTTTTTATTTTCGATTTATTTTAGATGATCCAGTTTTTGAGAAAAGCCCAAAACTTGGGGTATAATATGAACGATTTTTATGGTCCTTGTGAATTATCAACTGTCGTAATGCGAAGGAAGACGCTTTTTTATTTTGTTGGAAACTCGTTTTCTTTCATCTGCAATATCAGCTGAAGTTCAATACTCATTATCTTGTAGAATCTGTGCTCTTATTGCTGGCGCGAGGAAGGAACGAATTTCTGATGCGCGCGACACCTGTGTAGCACGAAAAAAATCAGGTGCAGTTGCGTTTTTAAACTTTGCGTGACGATCTCGCTTTTTTTTCAGGCGATTGGACGATCTTGGCGTACTTCTATGGACCGTTGGCGCTTGTACTCGGCGCGAATTTTGTGTTTTTCGTGCTGACGTCGTACTTCCTCATTGCTCATCGAAAGAACACGAAGAATCTCAACATGCGTGAAAGTCAGAAAAAGAAGTGAGTTGAGAGGAGCTGTTAACGTAATAATTTCTATAAGGTTGAATGTGCAGCAGCTTTAGTGCTTCGCTTGAAAATTTGAAACCCGGGGAAATCATTCTGGCACAGTTTCTTCAGCAAATTTTCATTTAGTTTGATGAAGAATTTCTTGTCATTCCGTCTATTATTCGAAGTAAAAATTAATTGCTGTGTTCTTCATTGTCCGAAGTACAAAGCAGTATTTTTTTTTCCTATAGGTTTTGGCTCTTCGTTAAGCTGTTCCTAGTGATGGGAGTCGGTTGGACGATGGAAGTAATCAGCTGGAAAGCCGGGTCCGTGGCCTCCTTCTACGTCACAGACGCGGTCAACTCTCTAACCGGGATCTTTGTTTTCATCGTTTTCATTTTACGGAGGAAAACGCTGAAGGATTTGCGAGAACGATTCTGCTCCAAACGTCGGGCCTCGACACCCGGTAGCTCGGAAACCCGGACCACAACAGCATCATCTTCATCCAGCTCCAATAAACACGGCGCCAATTTGAGGAGCGTATTTGCAACTAAGAAATCTTATTCACCGCGACGGGATTTGACGAATTCCGCGCTGCCTTATATTGACGATGATCAGGAGAAGCTGAGTGGGAATGTGGAGAAGATCAGCATCAAACCTGTGGGGGATTAGGCGCAGGAAGTGAGAGATTACGATTTTGTGTTTTTTTTCTCATCCTTTCTCTCTCTCACTTTGATCGGTTTTTGATCTGGTGAACAGGTTTTTTTTTATTTATTTGGTAATACTGTGCTGTACTTGTGGCTCTGTTATCTCTTCGACTACGGCTTTTCGGCGCATTTTGGATGAATGAATGAGGATCGAGGGGAAGGACTGGTTTTTTTTGTGAGTGTTTGTGATGGCCTCGGGGGTTTTTTTTTCAGGTTTCATGTCTCCGTTTTACTGCTGAAGTCACTTGTGGCATCGCCTTATTGCCTATCTCTGTGTACTTTTCTGATCATTAAAATTTTAGATTTTACTGCGAAGCGTTAATTACAAGAATATTGAACACTCGAAGTCTGATTCTCGAGCGAACCGTTCTTTCTGTTCGAACGGTGACTATTTGATATCGAACGTCATCTAGCGAGGAATTCTTGAGATCGATATTGCGTCTTTAGTGCCATGAGCCAGATGTCAGCAGTTGTAGGAAGGTAAGAAAATTTTCTCGACTTTGGAGAGAAGTTTTCTACTGGGCGGATTCGGTGGCTTTTTTTTCTACAGTATTCGTGGATTATATAGGCATGTGAATAAGTTGTGTTTTGCATTTGCCCGGGGCCTTAATTTTTTAAATATGCAAATGATGAAAGTTGCATAGGTGAAGTTGAGGTCTAATTTATGTGTCGCGTCTTGGTCCGGCTTCGTTTCCTCTTGATTGTGGGACCAGATATGCCTGCGAGTGGTACGTTGTTGTTTGTGCTGAATGAAAATTTTCTGACGTGCGCCGCTCTGGTTGTTTGACTACTGTTATTCTTGCATGCCATGATTGGTCATCGCCACTATCTCTCAGTACAGTATTTGAAAAGGTAAGCTCTCCTCCGAAAATTGGTGCTGGATTTGGTCGTTGGTGTGACGAGCGTTTGCGCTAGGGTTGAAATTATGTCGAGACCATTTTTACCGTTTGAAATACGTCTAGTTCGTCGTTCTCCTTCTGCAAGATCATTTTCTCTGAAGATATAAAACCGAAAAGTAAGAACGATTTTTAATGTGAACTGCTGTATACTCTACTGTGGAATTCTATAATTTAAGCCTGTCGAATAATGGGGGGGTCTTGCCGCAAGGGAAGTTTTTCCGTCGATATTCAAGAAAAAAATGGTTAATTAAGTAATTTTAAAATTTTCTGGCTTGAAATAATCAGCATGCCCGCAAATGCTGAACTGCTTGTTTAAAAAAATCATGAATAATTTTTCGCCGTACGCTCTTTTTCCCTGGGGCACAAAAAATGTAATGCACATTTTGATCTTAGTATTAATTATTTAGTCAATTCCGGAAATCAATTCCTGGAAATGTGTTCGTGTAATAGAATGTGTAATAAGTTTTTGATGAAATTCCGATTGGGGTGTGTTCCTCACTGATGAGATTTTCAACATTTAATAGAAGTTAAGATGTCATGATTATGCTGCGTGAGGTAATATTAAATGAGCGCGATTCAAGGCTCAAGCTCAGAGAGGACAATTTCAACTAAGAATTGTTTCTGTTGATGGAGGGTAACTTGAACTTCCCGAGATTTTTACTGTGTGACCATCCAAGGGTAATTCTATCATCTTACAAGTCTGTAATGACTAAAGTTTTGTGCAGAATGGTTGATGGATGGTCGGTACCTGCATGGTATGTATGTACAATTTTGGTGGTGGGTAATCAATGTGATATGCCGTATTCTTGAAGTACTGTATTCCTTCGTAAATTTTTAAATGAGTTAGTGAACAGGTAGATTATTAATGTGAAAATACCATGGAATAGCAGCAAAATCACTCAGAAACAGAAGGGAAAGCCAAGAAAAAGTGGAGTGTTTTGTTTGGAGTGTTTCTATACTATTCGCCAACGGCTTCTGGGTCAGTGATGGTTTTACCTCTGTGCTGTAATGAAATTGAGAATGCGTCATCCAACGCTACGCTTCGACATGATTCTGTGAACCCTCCTCGTTTGAATTTCATTGTTTCTTGAGATTCCTCCGTCTCCTGGAAATTAATCTACTGTATTATACGTGCTCAAGTTAATATTTCTCAGAATCCAGTCATTGATCCGGTATAGTGCATGAAAAATCAAATGGATTTTCTTTGAATGTTACGAAGAAGACATTGACGTATGAGAGAAGCTCCGAGAAGACACATTTGTCGTCAATCTCTGCTTTAGATGAGCTGCTCTATTTTTTCATTCAAGGTAATTAATTAAGTATATCCGTAACAAGTTGATCTGGCGGTAGGAGGAATTTTATCTGGAGAAATCACGTAATGACCAACCACCCTGAGGTACAATAATACTTCTTCAACTTAATACTCAAATGCTGTGTAATTTTGGGGGAACAAATGTGAACTGAAAATAATTTATTTTACGCAAGTTGATGTTGGAGGATGGTAGACTTTGGTTTGGCATAATTCCGACAATCGGCTCTATTTTTTAGGCTCACAGGAATGAAAGAAAATTTTATAATTCATAATTAATATACCTAAAATATCGTGTATTATTCCATATATATTTTCATTAATATTCATTTATAATTTTTATACATATATACTGTATACAAAATATGTAATCAAATATTGTTATATATAATTTTCTCATTAACTGACCCCTAGAAAATATTCCTTGTTGTTTACTACTCGTAAACAAATTGTACATTGTCCAAAACTCCACAATGAAATTAAATGTATTCTTGGTTGATTCAGGTTCATATGAGTATCCAGTACTGACGTGAATTTCGCTTGGGTCCGCCCTGGATCTGCTTTGCCTGCAGTTATTCCACTGCGCCGCAACCATCACCTGATTGATTCTGTGCCGATTTACTGGAATCAGCACAGCACTACCAGTTCGACTGACCATTACCTAACCCACCGAGGAAGAACACCCACACAAAAAGGACCCCCATTCATTTGAGGTTGCATGGCGAGACATCCTTCACGATCGACCGAGTCTAAAATTATTATTCTACTAATTATTAAAGTAATAATATATATTTCAAATATTATTCTTGCAGTGTCAAACAAATCTTCCCCTGGAAGATATGTATGTATATGTATCCTTGGTTGATACAGGTGCCTCCGATTGACGTACGAATTTCGGGAAGGAAGACTTGTGCATCAAGATGTCGGATTTCAAGATGGTGGGATCCCACGCAGCGCTCTGGATCTGTTTGCCTACACTTGTTCCTACTGGTTCCGGATCAGGTCGCTGATTTTCGGAATCAGCGCAGCACTACCACTTCGACCAAAGGAGGGTAGACATGAACCCTACCCCGCAGACTCCCCCAAACGAGGGTAGACAAGAAACCCTACCCCGCCAAAGGACTCTCCCAAACGAGGGTAGAAAAGAAACCCTAACCCAGGGTAGACAAGAAACCCTACCCCGTCGAAGGACTCCCCCCGCAAACGAGGGTAGACATGAAACCCTACCACCCATTCATTGGCGGCAGCATGGCGAGAGACCCTTCACGATCGAACGATCATGTCCCTCTCGCCAATGACTCTGTCCGTGAATGGGGGTTCACCCACCCAAAAAGAATCCCCCATTCATTGGCGGCAGCATGGCGAGAGACCCTTCATGATCGAACGAATTGTGTCCCTCTGGCAATGATGCTGTCCGTGAATGGGGGGTTTTTTTTTGGGTGGGTGGAAAAACTTCTAAAAATTTAATTTAAATCTAATTTGAATATTACAATTATAGTCGCGCCTGTTAAAGTGTCGAAGAAGGGGAATAAAAATTTCTAATGTATAAATTATTGAAACAATGCCAGTAGGATGGGATGATAATGTATTATCTCAATTCGGTAGATAGTAGAAGTGACTTGTAATAAATATATATTGTAGGAGTGAATACTGGAATGGAATTCTGATGTCCTACATATTTGGAGTGTGAAGTAAAAAATGAATAAACAATGAATGTGTGAAATAATGAATCCTTCATTGAACCTCAAGTTTGAACAATTCAATGAATTCAAGCAGAGGGCAATGGTACAGCTTACTCCACATCCCGCATAGCCAAGACGGGAGCATCTGTCAGCAGCAGACCAATTTCGAAGAGTTTGGTCACAAATGCCAACTGGAAACAGAAGAAAAACAAGATTCAAACACTGAGGAACGCGGGATAAATTCAAACTAACCGTTTTTCCGGATTTTCCACCAATATCAGGCAAATCCTTGATCAAAGAGTATTGCGGATACTGCGAGATCAAAGCTTCCACAACGTCGACCTCTTCATCAGCTATCACAACGAACTTGGTGCCAGCTTCGCGATACACTCTGGTGTTGCCAACATTGTAGTGGAGTCGAATCTCGTTCGCTTCACCAACTAGTCTCACAGCTCCATAACGGACCAGACGCACCCCAATGTTGATGTCCAACGTAACTCCATTCACTTCCTCTACGCCTTGCCAGGGTTCTCCCGCTCTGAACACACTGCATGATTTCTCTCCTGTGAAAGATGAAACAATATATCAACACTATAACAACTTCTTGCTGCATTTTTGTAAATTGCTCAAAATATCAGAATAATGGAATAGTGGAAATTTTTCCAAATGAAATTCAATGCCATGAACAAATAATGGGAAATTACGAGTGTGAAAAACGTAGTTGTCCCATCCAGACAAAAATGTCTCACCCTCAGATAATACTGGTGGCAAGGACTCCTCCAGCACCTTCACGGCAAACTGGTCAGCTGTGGCATCCACGGGCGCAAAATACATCAGCCTGCTGACCAAATCTCCGATTTTGGTGAAAAAATCCGACCGTGCGCCCTCATTCTGCTTCTCACTATGAATCGACCCAATATGTTGCCCAAAATCCACGGGCAGAGATTTTCGGAATTCCACATCTTCCTCCATGGCTGTCTTAACTGCCATAGGCAGCAGCTGCAATATTAAAAAAATAACATTCTCAAAGTAAGTTCAACAATATTCACGAAGCATGCTCTTATAACATAAAATATACCCCATATAAATATAGTACCTTAATGTTGATAAATTTCTGAGCAATGAAGCCTCATTGACCTCATGTAACACTTGGCGACACCACCCATCGCTTCGATTAATACTGCATGCCTTCAGCAAAAATAATTTTGGTAGCGTATGAAGTAATACAGAATCGGAGTGGACCAAGACAGTGTTCCCCAACCCGCAGACCAGTGCCAGTCCGCAGGACATTTTCTGCGGAATACTGTACTAAACTTATCAAAGGTAGCAATGAGTCCCGTTATCTTCATCTGAATTTTTTGGAAGACAATGGCAGTTGATTTCATTTCATCCAATGAAAAAATAGAAGTTGGCTTTTCTCCACTTGAGACATATTTTCGCATAATGAAATCATTTACTTTGAGAAACCTTTCTGCAACCTCACCTTTCTATTTTATTCAAGATGTTCCACTATACTGCACCTGCTTCATTAGTTCTTAATTTTAACAAAAAGCAGAAACAGTTAAATCTGTTAACTTTATTTAATACGGTAGATGATACAGAAGCAACAAATTTGCAAGTCCACAAACATTTTTTTTAAATGCCGATTCAAAAAAATTTTGGGGATATCGCCAGTGCCAGTCAGTGGGCCTGAAAATGATGGGGAACACTGGACCAAGAGATTAAAAGAAACTCAGATGACGCCAAATGAAGCCGAAATAATATAAAATGGGTAAGGTAGGAGATGAAACTAGGTTGGACACTACGAACCCAAATGGAGCTTGAATGAACAAAGATCTCTTCAGCTATCTCATTTACATTGCAACAATTATTATCAAATCAAAAGCAAAGCTGTTTGCTGACAAGTCGCATTAAATTACCTCCATAAGGAAGTCGCCATATGTGTGCTTCTGATGACAGGACACGGTCAGATGCAAAGAGTGAGCATCATCATCAGCTGTAGCGTGATGAATATATCCCCGCGGAAAATACAGCAAATCCCCGGGCTCAAGCGTGACTTCCAGAACTGGCTTCTCCTTCAACTCATGCGGCAAAAAATCCCTGCTTGATTCCCGAGGTAATGTACTATCTTCATCCCTAAGCAACCAAAAACGACTGTAATACTGTACATGCATAGAACTGGACCATTTTTGAGTCACTTACATGGGATTGTACACTTTCCAGTGTTTTTTGCCTTCAATCTGAAGGACAAAGGCTTCAATATCGTCGTAATGCGCAGCGAAACCCTGATGGCCAGCAGGAGTCAGATACCTGAATTTTCAGGCAGAGAAAAAAATTATTACTCGAGAAAACTTTTATTCAACGCAGAAGCTATGGCACCAGTCAAGCCCAATAACCCCATTAATTGCTATTCCATAGGTGTCGCCCTCTTGCCTGAATCATACGCTTGTGATAGGCTCAACCAATTCACATCAGGAAAGTCGACATTAGATGTCCAGATAATTTAATGCGAAAGGAGAGTACAGATCACAGAGGAATATATTAGTTTTAAGCATGATGGGGAAAAAGCGCATGAGTGAAATCGAAAATTCAGAAACGCTACTCACATGTTACAGCCAACGAAGGAGTTGAAGTACTCAGTAAGAACAGACAAAAGCCGCCAAACTGGGAGAGAGTACGTTTGGGGATTGAGCATCCGAACACTGCAACCTTCCTTAAAATGCCCCCAGACCTTGCTCGGATACGCTCTTTCACCCTCGGGCGTTAATGTCTTCCGGACACCTTTCACGCACTTCACCACGTCCAAGTTCCGGCCAAAGAGAACATCTTTCTAGAAGGAATAAAACAAAAATTTGAACGCGTGCTCTGAACGTACTGTACCTTAATGTACGGTATTGAATTCTCAATAATTCAGTGATTATCAAGGAATTCGGAGTGAGAATATGAGGATACGTTCACTTATTCGTTCCTATCAAGAAAATTATTTGGGCATGTACATAGTAATTGTTGCCAATTATTCGAAGCAAAATCTTTGTTATCGCAAAAATTTGCAGAAGTCTTACATTCGCACATCCACTGGCTAACAATTTTGACGATATGAGTCACTAGATTTAATCAATTTTGATTAAATACGCTTTACATTCATTGAAAATATGGGCAAATGCTCTTTCCGCGATTTTCTCCAAACCTACAAAATTCCCGAAGTAAAATAAAAATTATTTCGGAATAAATCAAGGACATACCTTACGTAGGATGGCATCAAATTCCTTGGTTCCAAATAGCTGCTGATAATAGTCCGCTTTTCTCTTCCCTATCACCAAAGGCCGTTTCTCGAAAATCTCCCTAGGGAAGAAAAATTAATTTGAGAGTTTTGGTTCCACGTTAAAGTCATTTAAATGACTCACTGCATGAACTTCTTCACGGGATAAGGTTCGATCATCCATTGGAGCATTTTGAGGGCACGACCACGGCTGTCGTGAATATTGAACGATTTTAATTTGCTCTTGGACGACAGCATCTTTCTTGGAGGCACGTAAACCAACTCAGGAGGCTCTTCATCATCGCTGCAACTAAGAACCTCAGAGTTATCCGTCGTTTCTGCAACCAAAGGAGAAGAAATCGGCTCTGCTGATTTTCCGTTCGTCCCAAGCATGGCTTTGATCCACGCTTTATTTTTCTTCTTCATAGTCTGAAAGAAAAAGACATTCTCACATTTTTCAAATTTCCCTCGACAATTTATGACCATCTAAACACAAGGGTGGTTTCGTCAACACCCCGGAATCAATTTCCCGCATTTTTAACTTTACCTCTTTCTTTCGAATCTTCTCCTCCTTGAAACGCTGCTTGAGTTCGGATTTTTGCAATTTGAGAAGCTGCAATTTCTTCGCTCTTTTCCTCTCCTTGTTCGACAAACTGTAACCTAAATGCAAAGGAAGTTCGGAGTTTCCTCCGTTCGGCTGCCCTTCGATCAATTTTTTCCTCAACGCCGCCACTGAATCGTACTCTTTCAAAGGACCCATTTCATACAATCCTGAAGAAAAATAAATAAAAGGACACGCCAAATAAAAAATATTCGTAGGTTTTCCAGGACACCCGAGTTTGTTTCCTGACATGTCCCACAGATGTCGCCTGATTCACAGACAAAGGTACCCTAACTCTAAGCTGTACCCGAAGTTTAATTCATTATTTCAGAATACCAAGCAAGACAGCCATTATCATACAGCTGGAATATTTGTACTTACAATCCATTGAAGTATTTAAACGAATCAAACCGAGAACAGATTCAGGCGACACCTATGCAGTGGAAACGAAAAAAAAGGTCATCGAAGTGGAAAAAAAATTAAAATTCAAGAGAAGTCTTCAGAAGTTTGAAAAAAAAAACGTGTAAATTTAAACATGGTCAACACATATCGCTATCACAAAAAAACACTCCGCATGGTTCAATTTTGTTCTTCTGTCTCGCATTCGTCAGTTGAACTTCTTCCCAGCTCCTTTCGCTCCAGGGATGTTGAACTTGTCCCAATCCTTCCGGTAATTGTGGTACAAAGACACCGGATCATTTTTCTGCAGCTTTTTCGCCTTCGCGACGCGGAACGTGGGGGCAGATGAACTTCTCTTCATCTTCGGCGGAGAAACTGAGTCGAAATCATCATCGTCGTCTCGGGTACAACAGTGACGTGGCCAGGTTAGCGGGGCCAGACCCGCCAACTGGGCTCGGATGCAAGCTTCTGAGGGAGTCGTCGAGCTCAACGAGGCGTCCGATGAGCTGTGGTGAAATATTCGTTCTGTCTGAACAGTGGCTTCTGTCACTCGCGGCCGTTGAACGGAAGTGGATGAGGCTTCAGATGATGAAGATGACGAGACATACTGTGGCGCCACCGCAGGACTGAGTTCTCTTGATGTTGACTTTCCCAAGGTGATGTCGTGCTTGACCAGCTTCTTTATATCTATAAAAAAAAATCTTCCTTCAAATCATAGAGAAACTGTACATACGAGGAATTTCCTCGAAATTCTACGAACACAAGGGGATTGCACATATTTCACACTTCGCTCACCTACCGAACTGCTAGAATTTCGATCATCTGGGGGAAAATCATTTCTGAAAAGCATCGGCACCTTAAATACCAAAATTCGATTTTAGATAGGTCGTGAAAAGGTAATTCGAAGCCTCACGGAATGTGTAATTGATTCCAAGCCTCAAAATGGTAATTAATAATTCAATAATTACAGGTAGAGTATCACGAATATCTCGATCAATTCATACGTTCTCGTTTAAATCACTGAATAAATAGATTTTCAGCATTGAAAAAATAGCTTAATGGCTACATTTCCAGTTCGGATGAAAAAAAAATGCATCAAAACTAGGAACTAATCCAGTATTCATAACTACTGTATACACAGGAAATCACCTTTCTTCAATGCCCTCAGGAGTTCAGGCGGAAGATTCTCGTATCCCATCTCTGCCAAACGCGAGGCTAGTTCACGATCATCAATCACTATCCGCAAACTCATCTTTGCTCTGGAAGCAACGGGAAACCAGCTTCAATTCAACGAAACTTGACGATCAAATTCAGAAGACCCCTCAACTTGTGAAATGAAACAATATGGGCACGAAAAAAAAAACAACTTTAAGGCAACACGAAGGAACACATATGAATTAATCATTTTTCATTCCGCATTGTTTTTCTCGTGTTCCCAGTCCAGAAATCGGTTCGATGCATGTGGAACAATAGGCGCTCTTCGAGTGTGTTCAGCGCCGCAAGGGTTAGCACCAAGGTCCGGTGTTTCAACATGCTGTACACATTCAAACCTGAAAAAAAAAACACCATGACGAGTCATCAGAACGAATTGAAATTTACTTCATTTTAAAAACTTACCATACACCGGCATGAGGTTCATGTGGGGAATATTCTGCGCAGCAGACAGGATATTTTGCGGGAAGATGTCAATACTGCAAAACGAATCAAAGCAAAAATAATTGCATGAGCTCATGGACATGAAACATCCGCAGGATACTTCACAGATTGCATACTCTTTCATTTGAGTAAAAATAAGGGCATAGGCCAACAGATTTAAAAATGAACTGCTGAAAAGTACTATATTCAGTTATTCCTGCTTCAGGTGGTACATGATTTTTGCAATCAGGAACATCAATCCAAATCCGTTGGGCTGTCAAAAGAAAACAGATTTGGAAAGAAGATTTCTTACAATCGAAATTAATTTATAAAACATTTGCAATACAGTTGGCCTATTTCGTCATCAACGAAATGTTTTTTGGTTCGACAGGGTTTTCTCCCTATTTTTTAGGGGTTCTCCCAACAACGATTTTTTCTGTTATCTTGAAGTTTGTTGTAGGGAGATTCCACTTGTAACACTATGGCTACTGGGGAGGTACCCCACTTCATCAACTCCAACCTCTCTAAGTTAAATTTTTGTTTATTCCCAGTCTGAATTCGCTAGAGAAAAATGTTATATAGATTGCCCTGAATCGAAGGATTTCCCCTGAAACTCTAGGTGCCTCTGGACTATTATTCTGGGGACCCAAGTAAGAGAGCAGTTATAAAATGATAACTCGAGGCATTTCAAAAGTACGTTAACGTCTAATTGGGCAAATGTACAGTAATGTTTCCAGGTTCAGCATTCTCTGAAGTCCTTTATCTAGCCATTTCAGACCCAGAATATCGCCTATTTCTGTAACGCTTCATATTTTTCCCCCCAGCAAAAATTCGGGTTTCCTCAACTCAAAAACTGCTGAATTCAAATATTTTAGGTTCCTCTGAGATTGATTGTAACCGAATTTATTACAACAAGATTCAACATTAAGTTCAACAGATCAACATTTGAAGCTAAAGGGACTAGGACTCACTCATCAACAAATAATACGGACGGCCCCCAGACCCTCGAGGAAACTAGATCATTCAAGAATTCAGGATCATCCGTGGGTAAGTCCGTGAAACCATCCACAATCTTCACATCGTCTTGAGCGAATTTCACAGACAGTGTGGACCGTAGGCCCTTGACTCGGGCATGGAGCGGGAGCATGAAAAACTTGGTAGTCGGACCACGGGGACCTTTGGCGGCGCCACCGCGAATCCAAAGTGGCGACCGAATGGATCCGTGACGGGAGCGTCCCATTCCTTTCTGAGGCCAGGGTTTCCTCCCACCACCAGACATTTCTGCTCGCGATTTAACGCTGTGCCATTCCTTAAATCATACAGTATTCAAATCAGTTGACTGAGAAGAAATTTCTTGAAGAACCGTTTACAATGCAATAAACTTTCTGCACGTTTCAGCTGCGAATGCTCGACATTCGGTTCTGTAATGAATATCGCACCAAATTCCTCACTCACCACTTCCTTATACTTCCGCTGCCAAACCATATTCCGATGGATGATGGTTAAATCCGGCGTGTCCGCGAAAATTTCAGGGTGAAGATGAACAATTCCTCGAACAGTCTCCGGTCCCCCGCGAATATCGGCCAAAGATTCAACCCATGCCAGCCTCGGCTTTTCGTATTGCGGCTCGATGTCAAATTTTCTACCTACGATTTCATGCTTTGCTAATTCACTAGAAAATAAGCGCGATCCGTTGCTGCGCAGCCATGACGTGCAACAGCATTTACCCGGGAGCGCACGGATAAAGTTCATGACACCTTGAATATAAAATTTTTAGAAGCATAAAACATGATAAAATCGTAACATTGACGCCAACATGAGACTTGACTCGAACAATACGGAGATTCGCACACGAAATGGTAGTTCATGAGGTTTTTCACGCCTTTTCTACCAAAGGGATGAACTTTCAAACATGATCACAACTAAAGAATACTGAGAACTAGGAGAAACATGTGACAAAATGCCCGTCAACTTTCATGACACGATTGTCGTTTTGTGCGGTCATCATCAGCCAAGAGGACATAAGTGCCGTAATTCGCAATGGGCATAGTTGAAGATATCGCTAAATTACGAATTAGCGCAGTTTTGCTCACCCTTTTTTATTTATTTAAATTAATAAATTTTACTTCGCTTGGACATTTTCGTGCGAACTGAAGTCTTATATTGGCGTCAAGCTGAGATCTTGGATCAAAAAAAGAACGAAGTATCTGAACACAACTGATGCAAATGTAATATACAGTACTACATTCCCCAAGTATCACAGCGCAACTAGTACCAACTCGGCGACGAAGGGGAAGTCGCCTGCTTGTACTTCTCAAGAACCTTTTCGTTTGCTTTCAATAGTTCCTTCTTGTCTAGAGCAATCAGACGATTTCTCCACGCTGTCATATAAGTTCTGGGATTGATCGGAAGAAATCCACTTAGGCCTGTGACCGAAAAAATTAATCAGAACCCAACAAGTTATCCGCGAAATTTCCAAGATCTCACCGAGAAGCTCTAACACAGGGTCACTAATTCTCGCATTATTCCCTAGCCAGAATCGGATACGGTCGAAGTTCAACGCCACTAGCTTCTCGTTATGGGCATTCGGCATTGGGTCGTATGATCCCACTTGCTCCAAAATTTTGCCATGCTGATTCACGTGGTTCTGTTTGGATAAGTACATTACATTAAATGATCAGCGAACTTCGTCGCAATGAAGTCAACGCACCTTCGCGACAACTATGTGGAAGAACGGTCGATTTGTGCAACCATAACGTACGAAACGAATCGTTGGAACGCCGCGAACCATCCTGGAAAATCGGAAGAAAAACTGAATGATCCCTCAACAATCGAATCGAAAAAATGAAGAAAACACTTAATTTCCCTCAAAGATATTTATTCACTCCTCTTTCAACAATTTAAAAGAGAATCCAGAGCTCGCAGGCAGCACGGTGTCACTCAACGGCCCTTTTTCTGCAATATCGAACGATACGTTACTTATCGACCATCAAATTCGGAGTGAAAATTTCTAAAAACTCACGGGGAACGGCAAACAGGTGCTCATTTCTATTCGCAGGCAGGAACAAAGGAGAAAAGGCATTCAAAATGAATTAGACACACGTCACATGCTCGATTACCATGCTCACTCGAATGCAAAATGCTACGATACTAAGAAGAAACTTCCTAGAACTGTATGCGCTTCAAACGGAAAACCGATATCAAGATTCGTTCAACTTAATTTTCCTTAATAGTGCTCTGCAGAAGCAATCATGCACTTCAACAATAAATGCAATGAAAAGGATTGGAATACAATCGGCGGTCTCGAAAACCATCATTCGAAATATGAAGGTGAGACTTGAATTCGAGTGAATAAGGTTGAGGGGTTTCAAACGCAGGCAAAACCTTGAAAAGCAACGCACCTTCTTCTGTCCGGCGGCAGCGGAACTTGCTTCAGCCTTTGCCTTACCACGGACCTTCTTCATTCTGGTCTTCTGCAATTTCCTGACTTTACGTCCGGTTTTCTCGATTTTAAGGAGCCCATGCTGTGGATGACACAAGTAATGTATTCGATTCTTGATTAGTTTAGCTCAAGAAAACGTACACGGGCAAGGCGATGCTTGGGTTCAATCTTCTTCGCGAAATCCATGGTGTCGTAGATCAACGCGAAGCCACTGGACTTGCCGCCGCCGAATTTCGTGCGAAAACCGAAGCAGAAGATTACATCCGAGGTGGTTTTGTACATCTTCGCCAGCTTCTCGCGAACTTCCGTCTTTGGGACCGAGGATCGGCCTGGATGCATAACATCTACAATCTAGAACAAACAACGGATAAATGAAATTCACGAAAAATACCACTCGAGTGTTCAAGTGCTTACCATTTGTAGGCGGTGGAGTAAGCGGTTTGTCATAAACTTCCGCGTGCGGATTGTTGCCGTCCCTTCCGACTAAAAAGTAAAAAATAGGGTTTCGAACAGTTGAGGATATAAATCTCTGTTTACACTCACCATGGTGACAATTCTTTCGAAAATCCGAGGTCACCGAGAGAAACAAAAGACCTGTAAGCAGAAAGAAAAGGCGCACTGTAACAATGCGTGATCGCAAGGAACCGATGCCCGAATGAGTCAGGACTATTCACACGAAAATCGACAAACCGGCAAATCAGAGCGAATAATTGGGCACTTGTACGAAAACCATCGCAAAATCGAATCACAGGACTAAAAAATTTCGAGGATGATGCTGTTATTTCACTTCCTAGCAATTAACTGCGATCACAGAATCACTGATTGCGAATATCTTCGCCAAGTAATCCCTCAACATTCACAATCCATCGCTGATTTCCACGCGGTGCTACCTTCTGTATTCGGAAATGGAGGTTAGGAACATAGCAGTCAGAACCCGAATTAACGCGTATCTACGTTTAGACAGGCGAGTTGAACAACCACGGACACGGGGCTATGAGGGAAGCCATCCCTGTGCCACGCTGATGTGTCCCCCTGGTGACTACGTTTGGAAGGTATGCATATTAGTATACACTACAGTATATTACTTTACAGTAGGCCAGTACTGTGAAGACAAACCTCGATTATCCGGGCTACTTCACCCGGGTGATCAAATGTATGCACTTCAGTCAGATTTGGAAATAAGACATTCAAATAAAAACTGAATTACTAAACCAGATCAAGTGATGATGTTGAAAAGCCCGAAATTATGTTTCTTTCTGAAAATTTATTATTTATTCATCCTTTTTCAACTTTTGTTTTAATATGTGGTGCGTTCAATAATGGAGCTTCTCGTGAAATATCCCCAGCTTATGCTGATCACTATGCTGGATTATTACTGTTGTGCCTCAATTAAATCTGAATATTCATACAAAATCAATACCAGCTGTTATGGTGCATAATATTTATAATGGCTGACTAAGATAGAATTATACTGTACCTGTAATGTGTTTCCTTTGATTACATAGTTATTTCAAGGGTAAGCAAGATTAATATTCCTAGTTAATCCAACTGCTTGTATACTGCCCATGCACCAAATACTTACTGCTGGCATGCTTTCTATATATATTAGATAAAGTAAAGTATATTCATCTGCCCAGCAAAAAATTTGAGCATTTATGAATCCCTCAGAAACCCAGCATTCACAATCAATCCTGCGCACTCAGAAAATGGTCTTACAAGAATTTTTAAACTAGATTATTGGGCATTCAGTAGCTATAACATCCAAATGAATGCCCCTAATAACCATTCAACCAATGCCCTAATGATTGCCCAAACATATTTTCAGTGCTGGCATTAGCATGTGCACCATTCATGATCAAGTAAACAAATGGGTCTTAAAACTGTCTAGAAAATGTGCATAAAATTAAAATTTCACTATAAAAATTATTAAATTTCCACATGTTCATCTCCGACAGCACCCATTTGGCATGAACAACTCTCAATTGTGAACTGTTAGATATACACCACACTAAACACACAATGACTATCACAATCATGAAAATCTATACCAGCTCTTAATGATGTGTATATTTAAATTATGGAAAGTTTGTTTTTACACGGGTGCTCATATATATACTCACGAGTATATACACTTGATAAAATAGGATACATTTTAAAATCCATTCTTCACATTAAATTCAGCATTCTGGCAAAAAATGAAGATATTTATGACTTGAACCATATAAACTATACAACGATTAGGAAGGCGAGAAGTCAACCACCTTTGCGCCCCATTCCCTTTCCCAGCACACAGCAGCATTCATGAGTACAGCGCTATAGCCATGAATAATGACGAAATGCTTGCTACTGGGTGCTGAACAACATATACGAAAATACATTCACTATTACAGACTAACTGAAACAAATGTTTAAAAAATCTTCACATACACACATCAATGCCATTTTAAATTAAATTATTATAGTAGATTAAAAAATTAATCTAAAAAACCACGTTTTCAAAAAGCAAAAAATAACCTTAAA